TGGGCGGGAAACTTTCCTAGAAATTTCAGCTTTCTAGCTTTTCTCGCCTCCAAGTTGGCAGCTTGCTCGTCAAAAACTTTGGCGGGCCCGTACGTGGGTACCACACTGGTGAAAGCACTCATTTTGGGGATTGGAGCCCGTACATGCATGTGGATTAAGTTTCCGAAGTTTCAGCCTTGTAGCTTTTGTAAGCCTCGAGATGAAAAATTGGCACAAATGAACACACACGCACACAAACAGCTCCTCGTCAGTATGCGTTTTCTGCGTTAAATAGGTGCAAATCATCGTTTTGGCGGGAACAGGAGTTGTCCCGTTACCAATCCCCGCATGATCAGGTCGATTGTATTTTGTTGTTAGGTTCTCGCAGTACATTGCCATAAAATATCAGCGGCCACAGCGTGGCTTTGCCAATCATTGTGTCCATCACTGGAACTCACAGCCGCTGTTTGATTCGCCGGCTCTTCAACTTTACAACTTGTAAGGTGTAAATACTGAAATGTTAAGTGTAACTTTGGGGAATTACACCTACTCTATCACCAAAATTTCCCTTCAAATATCCATTTAAGCATACTCGAAGTTAGAAAATCGCGCCCAAATTTAGTGCCATACTAAAATTTGCACTTAAATTAGATAGTTCTAATGAAGATTTCTAAAATCACAGCGAATTCGTGATTTTCTGGGTTTCTTTAGGAATTTAGAGTTTCAGGTACCGAACTTTGGAAGAAAATGATAGGGACATTCAAGTTCAAGTAACACGCGGAAGCTTCGCAGTTAGCAGAAAGTGAGAATTTTAAGGAAGTACGGAATGGAATCGCTATTTTTTGCAGAATGTAATTCAAAGAATAACGAGACAGCGCAGAGAATTGGCGTTAGGGCTTTATGTTAATGTCACTGAGATGCTCCCTCCTTGTGCCAGCTGCTCCATCCTGTGCTGTATACCTTCGATTAGAACCCACCGCTTGCTTGGTGTGATCCACAACTTCAAAGACTGTCCAGGTGGTTGTTTGCTTTCTTGCGAATACCACTTTTTGGCTGTTAGCAAAGGAGCAACATGGTCTTCCCATCCGATTTTTTTTTCCGCTAGGTGTCTGTGCCGTGTGATGATATAAACCCGTGGAGTGAATGTTATTCTGCCAAATATCTTAAAAAAGTTGCATATAACTTATGTGTTTTTCTTTTTTTCAGAGCAGAACCGGCAGCACAAGCAGTACTTTTAAATGCCAAAAAAGATGAGAATGAGTGGAGCGAAATTCCGGCATATTATGCTAGCAGTCAGGCGGAGGCTAACGCAACACTGTTCCCAAAACTTGACGAAATACCCGCCGGTTCATCGTCCCCTTTCGTGCAACAGCAGAACGAAGGCTCATTGATTGAAAGTAACGGCGAAGATTTAGTCAGTGCAGCTAGTGGCCTTACGAATGGCGGCTATACGAGTGAAACTGGCGGCGGCGCATCCTCGGCGCACTTTGTACCCATATCAATCTCATCACTGTCGGCCAGAGGTTAGCGCATTC